ACACCTAATCCAAGGAGCGAGAATCCAAGAGCTCCAGTTAACCATATTTATTAGAAATAAAGTTAAGATTGCAATGCAAGAATTTCAGTGAGTACCCTGGGTTGTGAATTCTGAGAATAGATCCAGTGTGCAAGATCTTCTGAACCCTTCTGAGTTTTGTTGTTTTTGGTTGCTCTTCAGTGATCTTGAATCAGCCCAGAACTTGCATCTCTTCAGCAGCCTGAGACTGCCCCATGCCATCTTCGCTTGCTAGCTTTTTTCATTCTTCTCCCCCTTGGATTCCAACTCCCCCACTGTGGCCAGTTCCTGAGCTCGTTTCAGCTTCTTCCCTCTGGTGAGGGACTCTCCACGTGTGCAAAACCTGTACGTGTTCTTCTCTCAGCCACTTCCCAGACTCAGGTTATTAGCCACAAGTGCAGCCTGAGAGATGATGTGACAGGACGGCCAACCGTCTTTAAGTTCTCCGTGCCGTCTCACCCTGCTTTCAGGGGAGAGACTTATTATATACAGGCAATTAAACTGGCAAAGCTCTTGGCCGTTTCCTCCCATGTTTTGGGGTAGAGGGCTGGCAACTTGTCTCTGTGTGAAGATGAGGCAGTCTGCATCTGCTCAGTGTGATAATAGACATTCCAATCGGTATGAGAATAAACTACCACACTTAACTACACTTAGTGTGCACGCAAACCAGAAACTGCTTGCAGAGTCCAATACCATCGCATTGGCTGCAAAAGGAGAAACTTCTCAAAAATTAGGGGACCGGTGGAAAAAAGTTTGAAAGGAAAGTTCAGGAAGGCCAAATATCTCCCAAGGGCCTGGAGGTAATTTAAAACTACAATCACTGAGGCTCAACTACACTGTATTCTGCAGTACAAGAATGTCATCTAAGTGCGGCCAGTGGCCATTTTCTGTAACAAATGGAAAGCACAAACTCTAGCAAAAGAAGTTAAGGAGACAGAAGGGCTTTAGAAGGAAAAGAAGTTGGGGGTGTGATAAACCAGCATTAAGAAAAACAGTAAGTTTATTCTCACATTTTGCTTCCCAAGGCATAAAGACATTTTGCTAACTGCTTTAGGGAAAGTTGTTGAGAAGGTGGTCGAAAACTGGTGTCAGAGAATTCTAAGTGAAACAGATTATCTGGGCTGGTCATGGGACAGAAGGAGTTTTGATCATTCTGGTGGGTGACTTTTGTCAGGATCTAGATGGGGGGCTGTACATGGTTTGTTTTCTTTTTTGAGCTGTTGTTGCATTCAGTACCATCAACCATGGCACCCTTTTGGCCACCTGCAAGTGTGAAGAGGCAGGATGTTTTATGGTGATTCTGTTCCTACATGAGTGAACAGTTTGGAGAGGAGCGCTCAAGTTCTTATTTACTCCAGCATGGAGTTCCTCAGGGCTTGTTGCTCTTCTGTAGGCCCCTTGACCCCTACATGTAGTAGCTGGAAGAAGCCATCAATATGTGGTCCATGGCTCTCCCAGGCTGAAATGGAGACGCTGTGGAGTTTGTAACGCAGCGCTTGGGGGCTGTGAGGATCTGGATGGGGCGAAACAAACAGATTAAACCTCTCCAAGACAGAGCTTCTGCTCTTCAACAGACAAGGTAGCACCTAGAAAGCATTGCCTTGCAGAATTGGTGTCAGATTTGGGGGTCTTCTTGGGTGTGTGGCTCCTGCTTAAACAGCAGATGGAAGCCATAGCCAGGGGGGCCTTCATCCAGCTTTGACTGATGTGCCAGTTATGGCCCTACTTGGACCAAGATACCCTGACAAAAATAACTGGCATCTTAATCACCAATTGATTGGACTCCTGCAGTGCACTGTTCGTGGGCCTTTGGAGAAAACCCAGAAGCTGTAGCTGGTAGAAAATGTAATCCCACCAGTGCTGAACGACGCCTGTTTTTAAGTCGCTGCATGGGTTACCAATAGGTTCCTAGGCGCATTGCCTTTAAAGCCCCACACCACCTAGTGTAATGCCCCAGGTTACGTTAAGCAACGCCTTGCCAGGACAAACTCTGCTTGCCCTGTTTGCACATTGCAAGAAGGCCTGCTGAGGGTCTCCCCCGCCCCACCTCTGCCTGAGGAATGTGGGGTGAGGACAAGGCTGCCGGTCTTCTCAGGAGTAGCCCCCGCTTTGCGGAAGGCTTTCCCTCTGGCAGTAGGTGTGGCTCCCGCCCTTGTGGCCTTCTGGGAGCAGGCGGAAGCAGCGTTATTCCATTGCGCCTTTGACCCAAGGCTGCTAGAATGGGGGGGGGGGCGATAGAATTGGTACTCATTTTTTAATTTATTCTTTTTATTCTACTGTTGGTCTCCCAGGATGCCTTGGGAGCGGAGATGGCTTAGAAATGTTATAAAATAAATAAATGCCCTCGGGACATCATGTCTGTCTCAGGCAGCCTAAAGCCATTGCCATTCATTGATCTGAAGGTTGGGATCCCGTGCAGTAATGGAGAACGCAAGGAAACCTAGCATGCAGACGGTCTCTGTTAATTGTTTAGCTTTATGGATTACTATTGCTTAAGCTACCTGCCCCCCTGTCCCCATTCTTACTCACCAAGTGACACCACAATATCAGCCTGGAAATGCAAGAGATGCTGGAAAAGACAGAGCGCTTGGTATGATGGTGTCTTCCTTTTTTTATATAATAACTTTATTAACAAAAATAAAAGAACAGTAAAAAAACTAACAAAAACTAGTATTAAGAGAAGACTAGAGAGAGAAGAAATTTCAGAATAAGAAGTATGAAAGAGTGTGAAAGACAAAAGAGAGAAGAAAGAAATCAGAAAAAAAAAATTGACTTCCGACCTTCCTCACAACAGATATAAGTAATAATATACATCCAACTCTTACTCTAAGTTTAAAACATAACTTCCATTATTTCTGTTAATTCATATTATTTCTAATCATCAAATGCACACAACAAAATTTCATTTTTTTCCCATATCTCGCAAAAAGCCCCCAAAAGGTTTCCAGGTGTTATTAAAATCACACAATGTCTTATCTCGAATCAAAGCCATCAATTTCGCCATTTCAGCTAACTCCAGGAATGATGGTGTCTCCTGTTGAGCCCTTTGGACAACCCGCTAATTTATGTCATCCTGAGCTGCTGTGGCGGCACCAGGGCCCCGAGGGCACCTTCCCTGGGGCTATTCTTAGTTCCTTTCCCACTGCTGCTTCTCTCCGCAGAGTACCACTTTGTGGCTTCAGCTGGGGAGGGATGTTACTTTTCTCCTGACCCAACGCGGCCATCCAGACCATCTTGAGTGCTCTGGGGCAAACCTGGGGTGACCTATTTCCTCAGCTTTAAGTGGCATCAGCTCTTCGAGGTAGGCCAGGTCAGGAAACAGCACAAGGATTTCAGGAATGCTATTTTACTGTTGGTGGTGGTGGTGGTGGCGGCCCACAGTCAGCCAGATGTTTAGACTGGGTTTGGCATTTTTATCCACCTATCTATCCCTTCCCAAGGATTGGCAGATGTTGTGGTTTGGTGGGGTTCAAGGTATCGTCGCAGGATGGAACTTGTTCCAAGTAAAGCTGCCTTTTGCAATGGACTGACGGTGATTTTGTCAGTGCTCCATCAAGGGGTGCTCCAGATGTTTTGGGACCCAAGGCGCCTATAACTACTGGGGCTATCTTTGCCTTCTTTTGCCACAGTCGTTCTACTTCCACTTGCAGGTCTTTGTATCTTCTGATTTTCTCCAGTTCGTTCTCTTCTCACTGCTGTCTCCAGGTATTGCAGTGTCCGTT